ATGTAAATAATAAAAACAGCAAAAATGAGACTACTTCCGAAAGAAAGAAGTCATTGGACGGAGAATGATTTGTCATAAACAGTGCTGGAAATAATAATCCCCTCAATATATTAGATGAAATGAACTGTGTAAATGTGTTCAATCAGGATACAGCTTTATCTAAATTGTTTGTAATAGTCCTGTTGTTCGTAAACCCTTTGGTCTACATCGAAACTAAGGGATTATGCATCAATCTTATAAGTTTTGTGTCTTATATTTGATTTTTCTTTCGGCATCAGTAAGATTTTTTTTTCGGCATCAGTAATCTGTTATTTTGTTTTGGGGGTATTTGTGCTAATCATTAACCAGAGTAACTTTGATACATGTAGAACCATTCTCTTGAGCGACAATTAGTATATAATTCATCACTTATATTTTAATATAATTTATAATTAATTTATATACAGGTGCTCAACTTATTCTATTTCTTTTATGAGAGTATAAGTATAATTTGTCCCGAAACTCCTTATTAAGGTAATCTTAATTTATCAGGTGAAACAGATATTTCGATATGATGAAGACTTTGAAAACCTTTGAGACAGAGAGGAGATTCTAGTCTTGAAACCTCGAATTGAAGTAAGAAATATCCAAAGCCATTTTCTTAAAGTTTGAGTTCTATTTTTGGTATTGTTTCAGAGTGGGCTTCCTTACCACCAGTACCGTCTCCGACCATTACATCTCCCATTTGTATCATGAAGTCAGGTACGATTCGGTGATTTTTTGTTTTCTTGAACGATAACGTTGACTAGAAAACAAAAACGTTAAACGTTTTTTTTATATTGATTTATTTTTAGGAAAATTATCGGTATATCTTTTAAATGAACTTACTACATAAGGACGTTAGGATGGTTACAGTGTTGGCACAGTCATGGTGATATAATCGGAAGTTATGAGAGTAAAGGATCGGTAATAAATCGGTAATGAATATATTCAAGAGTTTGCTGTACATTCAACCTCGTTTTCTAACAATGTCAAAAGAAACATACAGCATTTTTATGTGAATGCATATATGACTGGTGGTCAGGTGTCCATTTTTACGACAATCTGCGGATGATTATTTCTTTATGTATCAATATAAAAGATATGGAAATATATTTTCAGTGATTGCTTTGAATATATTTTTCGCAAGTAAATCGAACACAAAACCAATAAACCTGGTACAAAGTATGAAATGTATTGTATTTCCTAGAAGAAACTGAATCTCTATGCCGTGCATAGATGAGTATTCATGATAATAGAAGTCAAGAAGGTCAGATTATATTTAAGTAATACTTTTTATTTTTATCAAAATATGTCCAGCATTTATATAAATTGGCCGGACAAAAATATATTATATCCCGTTCTTATTTGTTCATCGTACCACGGACTTTAAAAGTCTATCAGTAGCTCAGTTTTTCATTATTTTAATTTATATTTTAACAGAATTCCGTACACGAATACACAGGCACTGGTATAATCTAGTTATAAAGATGATGATAATAAAAATAATGAACTTCAAATCCCCCCTCCACCGAGTGTCTCAAATTTTACCGATGGTCACCTGACATGTGCGACAGATACCAGACAGACAGTAAATCACGTTAAGATTTGATGGATTTTCTGCTATAAAATAATATTAATCAGCAGCTTTTTAATTGGTCAGATGTCACTTGGTCATACAAAAGTTGTTGCAACTTGTGACCCCCTTTAGTGCAATATGTGTGTGTTTTGCAATAATTTAGTGTGAAACGTAGGGGTTTGAAAGAGAATAGCAGATTTATGACGCTTCGTTTGATGCGGGCCGGCATTACTTTTTAAATAATCAAGCAATTTACATACGGTTAAAGCACATGAAAGGGAGTTGATTTACGGAGGTTACCCTGTCATGGATTTTTGTTTGCTCAATCAGCGACTTAATTATCTTTAATTACGTATGTATGGTGGAAAAAAAAATTTACGTTAGGTAATATTTTTTTAGAAAAGATAGCAAAAATCTGAGACACGGTTCCCCAGATATTATAATTATGTTTATATTCTAAAAGTTTGATGACAAAAAAAATAATAAAAAATGATTTTTATATGAAGATTTAAAATTTTAGTTTTTGTTCAAAATCAACTATTTACAAAAGCATTTTTTCAAATATGTTATTTTTCATGAAGATCAAATACATTTAATGCATGAAATTAAGAAAAATAACAATTATTTTTAAGATAAGTTTGTTTAAATGACATTTATGGTAGTACCACGGAAAGTGTCTGTTGTCGCCTTAAGTTTTACCTTGATAAAATAAATCAAATTATCATATTTACATCTTTTCATATGTAAATTCAAGGTAATGAAACTGATGTTAGTCCATTTTTTTTCTTGTATTTTTATAATAATTGTATACATTTGTTTGAAAGAAAGAATATGCTACGTGGCAAAGTAATTGAACTGATGTTTTTATGAGAATTTTGTTAGATTTTTGTGGTGTGCTTCCCCATATCAATGCTTCTTGAATTAGAATAGTATCATAACTTCTTAATCCTTATATAGATACGATATAATGTCCAAAGTCCCGGAAGAAATTATTATTGATAACATCTGATTTAAATATTTATAGAGATGATTTTTATTGATATAGTACAAAGCCTAAAAGCGTCCGTTTTTTTTTTACTTGATTATATATAACTAGTCAAACAGCTTTATTATGTATATGGTATACAATATCCTATGAGGTTACCAGTTTGATTTCTATTACTGTTATGGATTTAGAAAATATTCACTAATTACATATCTTAACATTCTTTTTTGTAAACAATGTATTTTCTATATTACCTGATAAGTATCATATTGTACTTTGTGTTACCCTGATTACATGACGAGATAATTGTTTTATTTATCTATTTGCACGGTGATGTACTATGTACAAGTCTAAAATATAGCGCATGTTCTGTTCTGTTTATCACGTAAAACAGTGCTGGAAAATTGATGTTAAACGTTTCTTTAGTAAAAATTATTCATTTATTTCAGACGAAATTTATATAGAAATGTAAACGCTGGGACTGACCAGCAAAAATCGGCGTAACGGGTATATAATGTACTTCCCAATATCACATCCGGCGTGCGGTGTACTAGAAAACTGCAAAAATATTACAACATCTAACCATATCATATCAGAGTCAAAGAGTCCTCTAGATGTAGATAATTTTGAATAAATAAGATAAGAGCGCTATCCTTTCCAATCCTATAGGCTTGTTATTTAATTTGTGTAATATCATTTTGTCAAAACATAATTCCGGTGTTAACATTCTTTTCTAATATCCGTAGAAAAATTATGAAGTCCATCCTCTTTAAATGTTATTCAACCTTAAGGAAGAACTATGTTGAAACTCATTAAGACGAAATTAATTTTCACCTAGAAGTCCAAAGCCGTCCGAATATATGGGTGCAGACAATATGATATTTGAGTTTAGAGATAATATCTATAGTAACTAGTAGCAGATGATAGAAAACAATATATTTTTATCAGTGAACAAGCGAAGCAAAGTTTTGTAACAAAATGACGAATTTGTTATTCCTCATCATACATTTTTGTCTCTCAACTATAATATAAATGTCATTCTTGCTTGTTTTAATAATTTCTTCGTTTTCTGTAATGCATAGATCAATTCTAATTATAAGATTAGTGGATACAATAAAAATTTCACCACAACATATTTGATAATAAAAGAGCACATGTCAATGTTTGTGGTTAAATTTATTGTTATTCAAATAGATTTTATTTTATTTGTTTCGTAAAGTCTAGTCTGGTTTCCTTCCAGCATTCACTACGTGGAGTAGTGTAAGGGGAAGGTACGTACTCCATGCCGTGCTATATTATAACACATTCAGAATCAATAAATATTTCCTTATTACTTATTGCTGTTGAATGCATTAATTTATAATCTTGCTTCTCATGAGAAGAAAACACTATGTCTGATGAGACGTGAGGATATTAAACTTCACCTAGATGTCCAAAGCATTCAGAATGCAGTATGGGCTTGATTTTATAAAGTTTTACTTTAAGTTAAAAACTATATTAAGTAACTGGTAGCAGACGACAAGAAAACAGTATGTTAGATAACAAAACTGCAAATTTGTTGTTCCTTATCATAAATTGTATCTTAACTATAATATAAATATCATTTTTGCTCGTTTCAATTATTTCATTTTTTCTGTAAATACAGTGTTCCTCCTTCTGATCAGACAATTCGATATGTTTCATTGCATTATTGCAGGTTCGCAAGGTAAATTTGTCCGGTCAGTTATAACCTGTTTCAAAGTCAAAGTATTGTTGTTAGTAATTTTACAATTTATAGACACATACTTCATTTATCGGTTACGAAAATTAATCTCTCGCAAGTCATGTTTGTGTATGTCTTTCATTTTTTATGCTCTGAGGGATATTAGAAATTGGCATATTACTGATTCGCCATTAGCAACATTTATGCCGACGATTTTTGATTCTGAGATCTCCACTAAGACATTATCAATAAATATTTGCTTCCAGCTCCGATAAATCTGCTTCCGGCTCCTCTACTTGGATTCCTGTTTATTACCATATTCATAAATTTAGTGTTGCACAAGAAGGGTTTTTCCTGGGCTGATCTTGTAAAAAATCAATTTCCGGTGTTACTTACATAATGACTTTTAAGGAAATCTCAATTCTTTTCACAATTTGAAACTTGTTCATTTGATTAAACCCCTAATTTTATAAATACTTAAATTTAGAAGGATTCGGATTAGCAAGGCTCCACTATTACTAAAAGCATAAAAATCTCAAGTCGTCTTGATTTAGAAAACTCAAAATAAAATACTTGGCCCCCTCACTACATTGAAACGAAAATGTACGAAGACCTAATAAAATTGCTATGTCATAACTATACTTAAAATAGTGCAACTTAAAACCACAACCGACAAGGGAGGTCATTCTAACTGGAAAAAATAAACAATACGTAAATGAAAAAGTTTATTCCTTTATTATTTTTCATCTTACTAACTACTTATTTATTATCATCGTAATAATGTGGAATAATAAACATATCTTACGAAGTACAAATACAAAGAAATACTTTGAAGCACACACACCAACACACACACCAACACACACACACACACGCACGCACGCACGCAAGACTGACAAAACAGGAACTCTCGAATCATATATTAACGTATGATTGTCACATGTGCAATTCAGATTTAAGTAGTTTTATGCGCGGGAGTTATGAGTTATGCTATAAAATTAATGGTTACGTAAACCATACAACACATCTGCCATAACGGGTGGGGACACAAAACTATGTGCATATAATTAAAACAAGAACACAATCTAAGGCTTCTACTATCTACAATAGCTGTTTGTGGTAAATGCTGTTGAAGACCAATCTTCAGTCATATTTAATGCAATCTATTTCTATAAATATATACAAATCTAACAAAACTTCATGATTTCTTTAAAAAATAATGACACATAACAACAAAAAAGATAATTTTAGTTTAGTCAGATATGGTTTGTCAAATAGAGTTGTTATTGTTTATTCTTCCACGATATCTTGATCGGAGTCTACTTGTTCTGGGGTGAGATCATATTTCCTGTCTAAACCATTTACACCACAGTCAATTATTCGGATATGTTTCTTTGGTACGGCGATGTTAGGATTGGCAGGAACATCGCCTGGAGCTTTCAAAACATCCTGGAAATAACAAATATGTGTTGTACTAATTTGATATTTCTGATTGTCCATTGTTAAAAGATCGAAGATAAATTTATAGCACAACCTCATGCACAGAACGGGTCATGATGAGCAATAACATGTGCAACAAAAGTATCAAAGTCTATCTAAAGTAAACAGTCAATATAAAAAATCCACCCTTAAATAACACCACTTAAAAACAGTCAAAATGTTTGTATCCTGGACGGTTTTCTAAGCAGGAGTTTTTCAATACGAAATTTAAAATAAAAAAATAATCTAAATACTTATGTGAATAATTTTGGTGTGTAAATATGTGTCTCTCTGTTTTTGTTGTTGTTTTTTTTAATTCCATCTGTATACAAGCAAGTTTATATTGTATACCGATGAATAATGTTCACATGTTTAGAAAATTCTTTTTTTTTTTCTAAAAGCCATTATACTTATTTGAATCATTATTGTACTACCAATTATTTTACTCGTTAAAAATTCACAGGTTCTTTTTATTTAGGGCAATATTTTAAGGAACGTCATGAAACAGTCACATTGAAAAATCCATGAGATGCGCCATGCAAGTATTTTTAAATGTTGATAATGTTGATAATACTGTCATTTTTTGTTGTTAATTTCTGCCTAAATGAGGGAAGGGTGAGGATGAACAGTATTAAATGCCGTCCATGAACAGGCTCAATTAATTCTAGCCGGCTAAATAAACCATGCTAATGTTTGTTGTATTGGGAAATCTTTAAGACCCATACAAATCTAATTCGCTACAAAAATGTGTTCTTTTGATCTACAGTGTGCAGGTTAATTGAAAAAATGTCATGATGTCAAAAGTATAATACTGATCTACTGAAGTCAATGGATAGTACAAAATTACTGTCCGTTTGCCACTTCCTTAGTCTGAAATGACTTGCAAAGTATAACAAACTCTTTTGTTGCATTTCGTCTAATCCAAGCTGTAACAATCTAAAATGCAATGACCAATGACCTAACATATCAAGAATTTCATAGATTTAGGTTGGATCGCCCCAAGACAATGGCCAAACATACAGAGTCTTTATGTGATGTATGGTGAATGTTTATAAGACAATGAAAATACAAACCGAGTCTTTATGGGATTTATGAAGACAATGAACAAACATACATAGTCTTTATGGAATTTATGGTGGATGTTTGTGACAATGAACAAAAATACAGAGTCTTTATGGAATTTATAGTGGATGTTTATAAGACAATTACAATAACACAGAGTCGTTCATGAATTTAGGATGGATATTTTAGCTTTACATACCATTCCTCTAATAACTTTTCCAAACACGACGTGCTTGCCATCCAACCATCTGGCTTTGTTGAGCAAAATGAAGAATTGGGAGCCGTTGGTATCCTTTCCGTGGTTTGCCATGGAAACCATTCCAACTGCACGATGACTCAATATGAAGTTTTCATCGACAAATTTGTCTCCATAGATGCTTCTTCCTAATGTAGAGCATAAAAGAATAAATTTAAAACACACAAATATATATCACAATATACTTTCTTGCATATCAGACTGGCGTTTCCGTTAGTTTTACCCATGCCGGAAATTTCATCTGGCATGGGGGGTTCCAGATGAGTCGCGTGCTGTACAATGGCACGATATTTAATATTTAACTTGGAAATTAATTAATTAATTTATTTATTTATTTATTTTTTTTTTATTTATAATTATTATTATTATACTTATCATAAGAAGTATTATTATTATGCATAGACATGTCAAATTCACTTAACACTACATTGGAGATACATAAAATATTTCCTATCTAATCATTTTAAGGCTCCACGCCTCAAGTTGAGAGAACAAAATGCTAGTAAAATATATGTACTTTATAACCACACTTTATTGTCACAATTAAAAATTATATTTTAGAAAAAAAAATTAAAAGTCTACAAATGTTTCAATAGTTACAACCCATTATTACATTTATGCATGCTACGTACAACTTTCGGCTGACAATTACTCCATTATTTTTGCATTCTTACCTCATTGAAACAAAGTAAGGTCTATTTTGGCCGATAAGGTAAATAATGTGAATAGCCGGTATTTTATGTAGTTAGTTTAAATACACCGATTCGTTCATTTGACAATAAAGTTATTAACTAAAAAGCTTTCTAAATTCAAGAAGAAAAAATAGCAAGAACTTGGAGGCCTACTTCTTTAATTAATGTTACCATCACCAAAACCATCACCTGGTATGATTATATAAATAATGAAAACAACCAGATTGAGAATACTTCTGAAAGAAAGAAGTCATTTGGCAGAGAGCTATAATATATTTGTCATAAACAGTGCTGGAAAAATAATCACATTAACAGATTAGATGAAATGAACTGTTTAATTGTTTTTCAATTATGATACATATTTATCTAAATTGTTTGTAAAATATGTTCATGTATATTGTCCTGTTTTTCGTAAACCCTTTGGTCTTGATCGAAACTAAAAGATTATGCATCAGTTTTAGAAGTTTTGTGTCTGGTATTTGATTTTTATTTCGGCATCAGAAATCTGTTAGTTTGAATGGGGTATATTTTTGGTTATCATTAATCAGCACCACTTTGATACACTTTTGAACCACTATCCTATGCGACAATAAATTTATTATTCATCACTAATAAAAATAATTCATTGTTAATTTATATATGCAGGTGATCATCTATTCTATTTCTTTTAAGAGAGTAAAAGTATATTTTGTCCCAAACTCCGTATTAGGTCAATCTAAATACATTAGCTGAAAAATATTTTGAAATGATGAAGACTTTGAAACCTTTGAGACAGAGAGGAGATTCGAGTCAAGAAATCCAAAGTTGAAGTGAGAAATATCCGAAGCCATTTCTAAAAGTTTGAGTTCTATATTTGGTATAGTTTCAGAGTGGGCTTCCTTACCACCAGTGCCGTCCCCGACCGTTACATCTCCCATTTGTATCAAGAAGTCAGGTACGACTCGGTGAATTTTTGTTTTCTTGTACGATAACGTTGTCTTGAAAACAAAAACGTAAAAGGTTTTATAGACTGATTTATTTACTTTTTAATATCTCTAAAATTAACTTACTCTATAACAAAGACGTTTAGATGATTACCTAGTTGACACGATCAGGGTGATATAATCGGAAGGATTAACAAGTGATGGGATTAAAGGATTGGTAATAAATACATATAAGCTTTATAATTAACTGAGTAGATAAGTGTGAAATATAAAGGAGTATAATTATATATATGGTGGGCGTGGCGATATTTGATTATGTTTTTGGGGTGGTCATGTGACCTACCGCCTGTGCCATCCCCTATGGTCACATCGCCCATCTGTATGAGGAAATCGGGAACAACTCGGTGGATTTTAGTGTCTTTATAGCCGAGATCTTCCTGTACATCAAACAAAATGTGTAATTTTATAGGATAAGAATACTGTTTTATTATATATACATAACGTATCGTTTCAAATGAAAATATCGGATTGCTAATTATCACGAAAGGCAATACATCACCAAAATATAATGAATGTAGTTGTGATTAAAGAAAAAAAGAAATTAATTTCAGTTGTATATTTAATAATTTAATAAAAATTTACCAAAGTCAATTTAAAAAGTTGCTTTTTTTCCAATAAAACACCTGTAGTTGCATGAAAATTTAGGTAGATTGTTTTTCTATTGTATTGGTAAAACTCACAGTAAGTAACTATTTGTGTACATATAAACCTTATTATAAACTGATTTTCAAAGAAAAGAAAGGTATTTAAAAGCTTTGAGTTACAAAAGGACATTCTTGGCGAAATTACTTAAAAGGAAGTGTGAAAGTACAAGATGTGTAGTTCGGGGGAAATGTTTAAACTGTAGTTAAGAACTTATAAAGCCTGACTCTGTATATCTTTCCTGGTATGATAAGTTAATGTCTTTATTCATTTTCAGACAGAGAACACCAAATAACGTTTTTTTTCATACGCTTATACAACTACATGTATTTATTTCACCTTCACATTGTCTTAAAAGTGTATGTGACATGATTTCAAATTTCGTGATGTATAATTGTAAATAAACGTCGTAAATTCTACAAGGAGTTTTGAACTTTTATAAAAAGTTGATGAAAAAAAACACTATTTTATAATATTTTAAATCAAATTTCAGGAGAGTCCTCAGCGTCTTTCAATGTTATTGTATAAGCGTTAGCAACAAAATTTTGAATCGATATCAAAGGCTCATATGTTCTGTATGTATTTAATGTATTTAATATCTCAACTATTGTTCGCTAATTGATTTGATATAACACAGGTTTACTGATGTGCATTAAACGTGGCACCACGTTGTACGTATTGGGTGTTTTATGACTAAAGTCAATAATCCCTGATTAAAAGAAATATATCCATGTAAACAGCTGTCACATCTTGGTTCATATGGCAAATAATTGTATAAACGAGAAGGTCGGTTCTTTTAATTGATTAGTAATACGTGGACAATTATGAAAATAAGTGCTGCCTATTTAATAATGTATGGATTGAAACAACAATATTTGTGAAATATTCATAAGGAAATTGCTGTGTGTCATTATACGTGTCAAAAACGTGCTCACGTGGCAGAAGAAGAAATAATTAACTATTTTATAATTGGTCAGTTCATTTTGTCCCCAACAGAATCTTATCAATTCATTAAAATCTTTTTTTCATATAATCTTTGAAGCCACAATGAATAAACCGGACAGAAAAATAATAATTATTTCAGAATTTGATACATAAATGTTGTAGTAGTATAACTGCGAAGGCATTTAATATAGTATTGAACACTGATCTTGTTTCGGAAGTTTGATCGGCAGTGTTTTGCACAATATAAGTATTTAAGCTTACAACTCGATTTCAGTATAAACTATGAAACTATTTGATCATGATTGAAAAAGATAAGAAATAAATTAACTCACTCGTCCTCGTACGAATCCTTTAGCAATGGCTGCAAAATTCATTGTAGTCATTGGGCATGTATCTCCGAATAGACCAATGACAAATCGACCTCTAAAATCTTCTCCTGGGCCATCCAGGTCCTTCACTTCAACATCAAACCATGCTTCTTCTGTCACTGTATAGTTACCACAGTAACCAAGGCTAAATACAGCGAACAAACTTACATATAATAAAGCTGCCATCTTGTTGTATCTGAAATTAAAACGTGAAATTGTAAATAATAAAAAAAACAATGCATAGAAAATATATTAATTTATGTATTACATTTTATACGAGTGCAGTTACGTAAATGTTCATGCTTTAAAATGAAAAATACGTCATTTCAAATTATAAAACTTCTAAATTTATGCAATTTCTTTATGAAAAAATATGACAGTGTTCCAGATATCAGGCATTCATTGTATGGCAATTGATGATATTTTCTGTACTACTTATTCTAAACAAAATATAGATGTCAACTTTTTCACAGAGTGGTTGAAATGTATAAACATAATCTAAATTGATTGTTATAATATTTCCTATTTATAATAAAATCAAATGTTTTGTGAAAGAAAAATCGTAGAATCATATCCTTCTTTATTTATAATGTGTCCATGTCCACGTACATTGGGGAAAAATAATCAAGCATTTGTAAGCGGATGTGATAGATAATTCAATATATTCAATGGAAAATAGATCAAGAATATTTAACACATTCTTTTTTATTTATTATTATTATTTTTCAAAATAAAACTTGTTCTATGAAAACTCACATTATTCCTATAAATATAAATAAATAGAAATATATTCTAAATTTTTTATTTACCTTCTAGATGTTTTCCTCTCTTGCGAATTAAAATCAAGTGGCTGTATCATGGGAATCACCTAAACTTTATTCGTCTTAGAGGCCACGAGTACATGCACTCTAATCCAATCAAAAGACAGATTACATCATAAACTGTCCAATGGAATCCCTCGAAGCTGTTGCGCGGACCTTATGGAGATATCTAATTACTTGGGATCATACACGTTGAAACGAGGCATTGCCAACGTATAAATTAACGTATATTGAGCGTGGCAATTTCGTGGCAACCACGATTTGTAATTGTAAGAGAGTTCAATGCAGCATTTGTGACACATCATGGTCCAATACACGCAAGATGCTTTACGGCACTAACGATCGGGGATAGAGCTTTGAGGGTTTGGAAAAATACCTCAATTATTGAACAATATATCGCGATTACATGCTACAGATGTTAAGGAATCAATTTGTACATCAAGTTTATTATTTGTACACACAAAAACTAGGAAAATGAACATGTGGCACGCCGTATTCTTATTCACTCAATATTCCTCTATTGTTGTTTTCTCTTAATTTTATTGTACATTTCTCTCCTGCGTATAAATTTTAATATTGTTCAAAACGTAAAATTTTATATACTTTCATTGTCAATCAAAATGATATAATCGAAATAAACATGTAATTATTACCCTTACATTGTTCTTCCTAATGTTTCTTAAAGTTGGTAAAAAATATATTACCACTGATTTTGACTGTGAAACCATATCATATTACAACATATAGCAGCTAAAACAATCATTAATTAAAAAAACGTAAATTGGTCACTTTAATTGCGCGTTGTCGAGCATATTCTATTGATCTTCTATGTACTAGGAAAGTAGAAATGAAATAGAAGATTTTTTTGTTTGATCGTGTACGTCTGTTCATGAGAAGCAGTGAAATATGCAACATTTCTTGCGCCCCAAAAACCGGCTTAAGCAGTTTTCAATCTAGTATTGGAATCGATGACCCCGACGAATTGGAGTACGGGGCAACTTGATACAGCTGTCTCACAGCACATGACACCTCATGTTGTGAGTAAGCAACGTATTCTAGGTAAACAAAGAACTAGTATATTATAATAACTCATGTGACCCTTATCTTTTACAAAAAAGAAATGGTGCTGAGAAGTAATATAACTCTTAATTTAGCTTCATTAAAGTATAGTCATATGTATCGTTTTCGAATCACATGTAAGCTAAGATAATCAGATTAATATATATAAATATGACTGCATGCCCATTTTTGTGTCATCATTTTTTATTTCTTTTATAATTTTTTAATGTGCGTGTGTGCGTGTGTGATCATATTTTTTTAATTACTAGGGTAAATGATGATGGTGGTGGTGTCGGTATGTGGTGGTGGTTGTGAGAAAATGAAGCCGTTGGTGGTGGTGCTGGTGCTGGTGCTGCTGCTGCTGCTGCTGCTGCTGATGATGATGATGATTGAATCTAAACATATTTATCCCATTGATAACTGCGTGTATTCCTTTAACTATAGTCCACGTGTGCATGTAATATATATAGTCTGTTCTATGTTCTATTGTCGAAATAAATAACGGTTTCATAATAGATTCAAATAAAATCAGCCATGTACGTCTACATATAGGCTTATACAAGAATAATTTCAAATAGATTTCAAGCTTTTAAAATAAATCAATGCAGAGCTTTGTGTATTTATATATGTATCTTTTAAGGTAAGTGATGGCATGCGTGCAAATAACATTGTAAGTGGTGTACTGAAGGTTGAGATGAGTGTAAAGTACTTACAAGCAAAGAACAATAATTTTGATATTTCTCAAAATCTCGCATATTAATTTTTATCACAAAATCTCGCACATTCTAACTAAGATTGAATGAATCTTTAAATTCATAATACATGTATAAAATTTACATATTTTTTATATAACGAAAACATGGGGATTGGAAGACCAACGCATAGCTTTTTATTAAATTGAAATTTTAAAACTAAATAATAGCAGAGACATAGATAATTATGTTATCTATGTCTCTGATAATAGTGATTTTCTTTGTTATGTCATTTTAATAGTGAAATTTAGTGAAGGATAGCCGCATGGGTCTTTCACACAGAATTCTATTGGAAAGACCCTGAACAATAGCAACACGTCAACACTCATCGTAAACATAAAATTAATTTCAGCTGTATATTAACACTATGCAACGGGTTTACTTTTACTCTGGGACATAAGATAACGTTATCCTATGTCCCAGCTTTTACTGTAATAAATTATTGTTTACAGATCTTTGTTGATAATTTGATTTTCGTAGATAAGTCTAAAGACAATTTACCATAAAATAGTTATTAACTTTACAATCTATATCCTAAGAGGTTTTTAGGACCGATTTCATCCTAGCCGAGTTGGCCGAGCTGACCCTGATTCCTTTACTCTAGCCGTCGGATTTATATAGTTCACATGCTAAAACAAAGTTGTTTCCCTTTATTTTCTTTCACCATTTATCGCGAAACAAAAACAATGGACAGCTCTGTCTCACCAACTGATTGTAAGAGTAAATCACCTAAAAATGTGAAACGGTTGTCACCAGAAAGGACTAGACGTCTATTAATGTCACCAGTAAAGAAGTTGAGTGCGTTAAGACTTGTGTCGCCGATAGATAGCGACCAAGAGTTAATAGACCTTGAAGTGGCTTCTGTTTTGGCTGAAGGTTTGTTTGTAATAATTTGTAATTGTATATCTTCACAGGAAAAAAAGTGTTTAGTGCATATTTTTATTCTGGGTATAGATATAGACCACACACTAATATCTCAACGTGCAGTACAATTATTTAGACTTTTTAAACTTTAAATAGTCTAACTAACTTAAAGATTATGACTAATTTACGATTATTTTCACTATAATCTTGGGTTACGAACATTAAACCCTCTCAAACACTATTTATTCTGGATTATTGGTGAGACCCCTCGTTTATGTGTGTTTAAAATATGTCTTCAAAGTCAAATCACCCTATCTGTATGACTGAACGTATAGTGTGTGTGTGTGTGTGTATGTGTGTCTGACTGCTGGTGTCTGTGAATGTTTCTTTACTTTTAAACAGAGACATAGATAACATAGATTTTATCTACATCTCTGTTTTAAATCACTTTCACATACATGTAAGTTCTTTCACCTGTATACTCTTGAAACGTGACCTTGTAAACATTGAGGATTGCGATTTTGTCCGATTTCACCATATTAAATAAATCAATTACTTCAATGAGTAAAATAGCATACATACAAGCATTTCACTGCATGTGAATATGTTGGGAGAATTATGGTGGTTTCGCCGAACTACCGGTTCGGCGAACTTAATTTATGAAGAGGTGCGAAAGTAGTTTCGTCGAACTGATGTTTTATAGTAATTAAAGGCAAAGTAGACGTGGTTCATATATATAGTGTTTTTATCATCAATATTTTGTTATAATTAAATTATGACGCAAATATCCTTAATGTATATAATTTATTGTAGAAGTATGTTTATTATACTTATTTTGATAATGATTTTCTCGTTATTTGATAAATTATTTTTGAGTCAAGAATAAATTACAAAAAAAACAACAATATTATTTTGTTTGCAAAATGTATCGTTTAGTTAGGGCTTGGTTTACGAAATAAATCAATTGTTTATAATTGATGACAGATAAAGTTTGTTTGTCTTATCAGCAGATCAGTTAACACTAATCATATAACTTTATTTCAAGCTTTTTGTGTGTATATATGTCGATTTTATTCCGATTAAAAGCATTTTTTTATTCAGCTTTAACTATTTGTGTATATAGTTTGACATAGATTACAAAAATAAACTTGTGTGAAATGTAATTTGTGTAAATGTTGACTCTTTAGGTTTTTTTCAGGTTGTACTTTTATATATATATATATTTCTATGATGTTGTTTGTTCACTGAGATCTTTTGTATTGTGTTATGCTTTTATGTAAATATTACTATTATGCTAAAGAAAAGAATAAATAATAGGTTTAAATTTTCAATATCTTGTCATTAATTGCATGAAAATGTGTGATAAACCACACATTAAGACCCGCGATAATTGACATGCCTATTATACAATAGCTTTTGTTCACAATATAAATTAAGGTGCCGAAACCACTACCTGTTTTATTATATAAGATCAGTTCGACGAACTGGTAGTTCGACGTAACCACTCCCACCCTGTTGGGATACCAGGTAATGGTACCAATGTTTACTCAATGCTTTATTTCCTGAATGACTTATCTATTTACATCTGAAAACATGGCCTCTCAAATGATTATTAATGAAAAAAAGGACTGATAAAGCAATGTTGTATAATTATAATGGGTTATATTTTATGTATGGGAACTACGTCTCTTCTGTATTTTACTTTTAAATACATTTTCAAGACTTTAATAAAAATTATCTTGAATCTGGAGGCATGCTGCTTTAAATGCAAAATTGAATTTACAGAATTTGAATTTCGCAATGTATTGTCCATGAACTTGAACTTCTTCCAGTACGTGCAAAAACTGTGCACTGTCATCTATGACATTCAGTATGAGTTTCTTTTGTTAAAAAAATAATTACAGGTGCTCTACTTTACTTGCATTTTGTGAGTACATTATCTAGCTGAAAGTCAAACCCTCGAGATGTTTACAGAAAGACTATAATCTTTGAAAAAGAAAACTGTCACTGATGCTTTTATTTCTCATAAAGTGTAGCTGGACCTACACATAAAACTTGGAATACACATTTTATATTTCTTTTCTTTTTTTTCAGGAGGATCTGTTTCCCCAACCAAAGCAAAACGTCATGAAACACCAGTCAGAGTAAGCTTATTTTGTTACTTATCGCATGGTGCAATGATTAAATGTCTTAGATGTTCCTCAGATGTTATATGCCAGTAACATGTTTTATCATTAATAAGGCACAATGCAATATCTCAGATAAAGCACACTTCTTTAGGAAAAGTGTGCATTATTTCAAATACACCACAGTTTGTTAGTTCACATGGTTCATGTATAACCGTAACCGTAGACAGAAGACAAAAAACAAAGAGTCACTGGACTATATCAAAACTCAGACTGGAAAATAACGTATATATGTGTATTCAGATAGGGGATAGGTAATGGGGCACTTGGGTCATGACACAGTTTTGTCTGGGGCATGAATGAACATGTTTTTAAATGTATTAATAATTTTCCTAAATGAAATTGGGTGCTATGACACACAGCCTGTTTAAACTTTTTCCTTTGAAGCATTTCTCATATTATTTTTTAGCTCACCAGAGCCGAAGGCTCAGGGTGAGCTATTAGTATCAAAGGGGGATGCTCCGGCGTCTGGCATCGTTCATCCGTCGTCATGCATCAACAATCGACTTCTTCTCTGAAACTAATAAGCAGATTTACTTCAAATTTGGTCTGCAGCATCCTTGTGACAGTCACACTTGAATTTGCTCATGTCATTCCAATTGGCCCCTTTTAGGGGTCAGCAGAGCTAAAAAAAAGAAAAACCTTAAAACATCTTCTTCTACAGAACTAATGGTTGGATGATCACCAAACTTTGTCTGTAGCATTCTTGGGTAGTCTTTTATCAAGTTTGCTCATATTATTTTGATTGGCCCCTTTTAGGGGTCTCTAGGGCTAAAAATAGAAAAACCTTTAAACATCTTCTTCTACAGAACTAATGGATGGATGATCACCAAACTTTGTCTGAAGCATTGTTGGGTAGTCTTTTATCAAGTTTGCTCATATTATTTTGATTGGCCCCTTTTAGGGGCCGCTAAAATTAAAAATAGATATACATTTAAACGTCTATTGCTACAGAACTAATTGATGGATGATCACCAAACTTTGTCTGTAGCATTATTGGGTAGTCTTTTATTAAGTTTGCTCATATTAATTTGATTAGCCCCTTTTAGGGGCCGCTAAAATTAAAAATAGAAATACGTTTAAACATCTTCTCCTACAGAACTAATTAATGGATGATCACCAAACTTTGTCTGTAGCATTTTTGGGTAATCTTTTATCAAGTTTGCTCATATTAATTTGATTGGCCCCTTTTAGGGGCCGCTAAAGCTAAAAATAGAAAAACCTTTAAACATCTTCTACTTCAGAACCAATTGATGGATGATCACCAAACTTTGTCTGTAGCATTCTTGGGTACTCTTTTATCAAGTTTGCTTATATTAATTTGATTAGCCCCTTTTAGGGGCCACTAAAGCTAAAAATAGAAAAAACATTCGAACATCATTTCCTACTGAAATAATTGATTGATGATCACCAAACTCTGTAACATTCTTAGGTAGTTATATCAAGTTTCTATTAATTGATTTGCCCCGTTTCAGCTAAAGCTTAAATACCCCAGGTCATGGCATTTCTTCAAATAATTGTTTCAACATATACTTTGCTCAAATTTGATATTAGAATATATTGACATTCCAACACTGAAAAGCAGTTGTTTCTGGTGAGCGACTCAGGGCCATCATGGCCCTCTTGTATCAATTATTAGTCCTTAAGCAAATACTAAATAATCATTTTACTTAAAATAATTTGTAAAATCCATCTTTTTTACATGTGATTATAAATCCTAATCAAAAGACAGTAAGCGTAATATAAGCACGTCATAATTCTTTACAACAATGTGTTTTCTGTGTCTGATCTGTGATCACCCAACCAATCGGGAGCATCCACCGTATTTCTGATCAGCTCTCAAAGTTTTGGGGTTGAAATTTGCTTAAATTGTAATTACTTTGTTATGTATTTACAGATTTGATTTATACTTGGACAAAAGAACACATATGATAAAACTGCCATGATGAATTTTCTGATATGACCTTGACCTTGAAGGTCAAATTATAGAAATTTACTTAAATTGTCATAACTTTGTTATTTATTTATTTATGGATTTGGTTCATTCTTGAACAAAAGAACACTACTTACAAAACTTTAATTTAATGAATCTAATAAGCTTCCTTTATTTTTCATCATGTCTTAAACAACTTTTGTTCAATGTTAATCTAAATTATTGTTCAGATAATTCCGGACTTCTGAATTCTGGACACTTCCAAATTATGAACTTTTGGCTAGTCCAACAGGTGTTCGGTTTTCAGAAGTTACACTGTATTCTTTCTAAGAAGTAAAAATTTAAGCAAAGTGTGTGGTCCCTGCCTGACGATTGCTCTTCTTTATATCATTTAATTCTTATTACACATGCATGCAAATATTCAAATAATTGTACAAAACTGAGTGTACAATATTTTATTCAAAAGTATAAATGAGCCGCGCCATGACAAAACCAACATAGTGCGTTTGCGACCAGCATGGATCCAGACCAGCCTGCGCATGCGCCCAGTCTGATCAGGATCCATGCTGTTCACTTATTAACCCAATAGCAAGTAGAGAAATTGATAGCGAACATCATGGATCCTGATCAGACTGCACGGATGCGCAGGCTGGTCTGGATTCATGCTGGTCACAAACGCACTATGTCTGGTTTTGTCATGACGCGGCTCAAATAAGAAGTATATATGTTAGTATATTATATTTATACAAATATTGATTTGACCACATGCTGAGGATATATTATGGATGCTTTGTCAGTTTGAATTTTTTTCCCAATAAAAGGATTTTTTTTTCTCCAACTTGATAATTATTCAGACATTCATTTCAATTCTTTAAAAATATATCATAATAAAGAACTTGAAAACTGTATAATAAATTGAATTGATGAAGACCTCCTGTGACTTAAGTCTTCGCGGGTTTTGTAAAAAATGTTCAAATACATGCAAAACAATTTTCATGTAGAATAATTTCAAAACCATCAAAGGTTGATTATGGATTTTGCTTATCAGTTGTTGCAGTGCTTTCTATTTATGCCCCTTTTTATTTATGCCCCTTTTTTATCTTTGAATATTTGTAAATACATGTATTGGTTATTGAAAACTTATGATCATAGATCATTCTTGGCATTCTTGCTGATGGGGACAAGGTTCATCTGTATGACAAGGGACATAACTATGTAATCAGTAACTCCAATTTAAGTTATGCCCCTTTTTCAAATGGAAAATAATTTAACTTTTGCATAAATACTAGTCTGCCCTTTTAACTTAATAGGGAGAGTCAAGGAGTTGCTTGTTTAATATGTGGGTAAGACAAAAATTTCTCCATGAGGATTGATCTCAGACATGGAGTCTGATGATCATTTGTCACTCATCTGTGATAAATCATGTGGGATTTATAGTGGGGCACTTGCTGTAAAAATTGATAATCACTTGTTCATTATCCAGGGTAACCAGTAAGGTGGACAGACTGGCGAGATATGACCAAAACTGTGTTAAAATGGGAGAGAAAAAACAAACAAAAGTATCGGTATAAATACTCATGTATCACAAAGTTACTAGTATTCATTTTTAATGAGAATTTAAGCACATATTAACAGCCATAACACCATAACAGTCCTGAAATTTAATTGTTATACACCATATTATGGTTAAGTGCTTGGCTTGGAAATTATTGCCCATGGCAAATTAAGTTATTCATTTTAATGAGAATTTAAGCACATATTAACAGCCATAACACCATAACAGTCCTGAATTTAATTGTTATACACCATATTATGGTTAAGTGCTTGGCTGGGAAATTATTGCCCATGGCCAATTGATGACTCCTTTTGATTTTGAGGACATTAAGTCAAAGGTCAAGGTCACAGTGTAACAAGTGTAAAATCGATAACTTGTCCAGTGGTTGTTTTCTTTTATTTTTCAATTAAGTCATTTAATATTCACAGTACCGCTGACATATAATGCTCTCATGTGTGCATGTCTGTTCTAATTTATACCCTGACAGGGATCAAGGAAACTTTCAAGAAGGGGTGGTCAATATGTAGTATACAGAAGGGGGTACAGCATTTTACAAGTTTGTTTACAAGTGGGTCAGGAGTCCAAATTTTGCATGATTTTCATTAGAAACAACATATAGTAATATCTAAATACAGTCCGACCCAGGTTATTGGACAACCCTTTATTCGAATACCTGGCATTATCCAAAGTAGATCAGCGATCCAGTTGCTTGAAGATGACAGAGATTATTTTCGTAAATTTTCTATTTATGCACTTGTCAAAACATAGAAAAGATTTGTTTCTTTTTCATAAATTGTAACGCTAAATGAGAGCCTTGACTCTAATCAGAAATACCAGAGTTTAGTTGTAAATACGGTAGTGACCACACGGCCATAATCAAAGCCTTGCACGAAACTAAACAATACAATATTATAGAATAAACGCATCTTTTTATGAATATTTATTTTTCTTGATTAATTGCTGGAAACAAGTTCATTGTAAACGTGAGTTTTGCTATGATTGGCCAAAGTGGAGAAGTTTTTGTCTATCACAATATTCCGATTTCGATTCTTCGAACCCATCGATTATTTGAAGTAAATTTTCAGTCCCCAGCAATTCGAATAATCTGGGTTGGACTGTATCAAAATCTCCAAGGGGTATTATATATACTAAGCAAATCAATCTGGCATTTTTGACATTTAAAATTATTCTATAAAAAAAAGTGTACACGTATATCAGCGGGAGACTTGATAATGATGTTAACCAGTCCTCATAATTATATTGAGATGAATCATGCTATAACAACGAAGTAGTTTACTTAAGCACGTAGTTTACTTAAGCACGGGCTCTTATGTAATTTAAATCTATGACTTAGGTAACAAGAAAAGTACAGTACATGTTGTTTTTTTGAAGCTGCATGCCTCCAGATGAGTCACAGTATTTCAAGAAAATCAAACTTTAGAGAAGTGTAATAAGATTTTAAGAAAAGTAAAAAGATTCAAGATTCAAGAATTGATTACATGTTACATGTATGTGTGATTATTGACTGATTAAACAGTATTTAAAGGCTATTTTTGCATATTTTGACAACTTCTTTGTAATTTATGTGGATTGTAAGTACCATTTGCAATGTGTCAGTTACTATCTTTGTTCACTTTACAATATTTTACTGATAAATATATTTTCAAAATTTCCTGAAAATTCATATAAATTCTGGAGGCTGCTTTAAAAGTATATTCATTCTCTAAAAAGGGTATGCTTTTATAATGTTTAAATAATGGTTTTAGAGTGTGTAAGATCTTTATTACTTGAAGAAAGTAGCTGCCTTAAATAGGAAATATTTTGTCATAAATGAAGCAAAATGTAAACAATAAATAAATACTAAATGACTGTAACTGTACTAATTGCTAAAAAGAAACACTATCAAAGGATTATTTAGATTATCAGTAAATTTTTTTGGAAACCATTACAGGACACAGAAAATGAAAAGCTTTTGAGAAGCAATTCTTGGGCATAATGGGCCTTTAATGGGGAACAGGTCTTTTTGTTTTCAACCATGGTTTCAATTGTGAAAAGATTTGTTATTAGATTGGCCAATGATGGACAGCTTTCAATCATTCAGTTGTCAAGGAGGTAGTTACAGTTTAAATACACTATGATAGTTCAAATTGACCTTTTATTTATCAAGCTTGGCATATGGTAATTCTAAATTTGCTTTTATTTGTTCCTGTATGATCGAAACTGTTACACTGGTTCGCCCTCCAATTGCCACTATACATTCTACTGATGCTGAAAAAAAATACAGAGTACATTTTGTATATTTTAATCAATATGTTTGCAGCCTGCAACTGTTATGACTAATGTCCAGAGAGGAAATGTGCAAACAACTACACCAGTATTTCAAAGTAAGTTAGCTTTTTCAAAGGAATACGGTCTTAATACGGTCAAAATGCATAATAAAGTAATATACAAATTAACAAACTTACATGATCTGGTGTTTGGAACATACTATTGTAAGACTGGGATATCCCTGCTATGTTGTATTTTACCTATCATTTTACTTATCTTGTGAATGTATGCATTTGGTATCTCAATTAACCACCACACCTTAAACATTTTTAGAGTATATACTCCCAGTTTTAAATAAAATATCTGCAACACGATCTGCCCCTTCGTTAAAAAATAGCCCTGCCCCAGATTTACACTTGAGAAATGAATTATCATCAGACTTCCCGCCCCCACCCCTCAGGTCACATTTTGCTAAATATGACTTTGTATAGGAAACATACATAGTTAAGCAGTCAAAACTGTAACAAAAACCACATCAAATAAAGACAGCTGTGGTAATAAAGAACACTTTTTGACAAAATTTCATTGATAAATTTACACCAGTGTTATCATTGAATAAAGACCACTCTTCTATAAGGGCCATGCATGGTCTATCTTTTGGATGACCTGTGTTCACAGGTTTGATTGTATTTCAGAAATCTTTATCAGTACAATGCTCTGAGCTCAGATAAATGAGCCGTGTCACGACAAAACCAACATAGTGGTTTTGCGACCAGCATGGATCCAGACCAGCCTGCGCATCCGCGCAGTCTGATCAGGATCCATGCTGTTCGCTTACAAACCCTATTACAAGTAGAGAAACTATTAGCGAACAGCATGGATCCTGATCAGACTGCACGGATGCGCAGGCTGGTCTGGATCCATGCTGGTCGCAAACCCATTATGTTGGTTTTGTCATGACGCGACTCAAATGTCTTGCAGCATCACCTTGTGGTCCTCTAGAAAATGCTTATAAAAGAGATTTGGTTTTATCAGGGGAGGTTGATATGGATTGAAAGGGGTGAGAGACTTGCTGCTAAATTATTGTCATAGCAAATTAAAAGTTATAATAGCAAATCAATTAGAAAGCAACAAAATGATATTCATCAATTGTTCACAAACATCATTATGTTATTCAGGTATAACAGTCCACCAGATGGCAGCACAAGGTGAATTAAACATGCTGAAACAGGAAGTAGAAAATGGTGTGTTTTCTCTTTACTCTTTTTAATAAAAGGCTTTATTTAATTAGCCTGCATGTGGCCACAAATTCTAACTGTGAGACTTGGTGAGCTGATTTGATCGTTGACTGTCAGTAATATGTTTTTCATTCACAGTCCATTCAAATACATTTTTGTAACATCATTTTTGAAACCAGAAGACCATAATTGGATGAATTGTAAGATTTTTTATGTACCTTGTATGAATCTTTACCAAGTTTGTTCAAAAGGAACCAATCCATTGCATAATTATCTTGGTTATGGAAGCTTAAAAATTAGAATTTCAAAATGTAATCTTTAAAAAATCTTTTAAATCCAAAAGAGCAAGGCCTATACATGAGATGTGTTATGTCATCTAATGAAACTCTTCCAAGTTTGTTCAAATTATAACCCTGGTCAAAATAGCCATGCCGCAGGGTTCATGGGTTTTGATTTTTTTTATTCACTTCTGTAACCACAAAAGCTTGAGATGAGATATTTGGCATGAAACAGTTTGCCAAGTTTGTTCAAATAATGAAAACTTTAAAAATCTGCTGTTTCATTTAAAGAAGGATAGAACTCCTATGTTTCATGAACAAATATCTAGTGGACCCTAACAAGTGTGTTAGAATTCTACCTGTGGTGTCAAAATTTGCCCACCCAAGGTGAACATTGAATTGTGATTCTATATCAGCCAAAAACGTTCATTTTCAATCAGTGATATTCATAGTAACATTGATTTACTGAAAAAACCTGATTGACTTTCCTTAGCAGCAAGTGATTTCTGTAGCAACCATTGACTTCCTCAGCAGTCAGTGACTATCATAACAACCAGTGACTTCCATAGCACTCATTAACATTGCTGAACAATCATTGACTTCTGTACTAAACATTAACTTTCCATAGCAACCAGTGATTTCCTGAGTTACTGATAACTTGCCTTAACAACCAGTGTCTTCCAGAGCAACCATAGGTTTCCATAAGCTATTGTTGACTTTCCATAGCAACTTTTGACGTTCCTAATGATAAATCAACTGATAACTTTCATAGCAACCATTGACATCCTTAGCAAACACTAAATTTCTTTCCATTACCACCATAGACTGCCCTAAGCAACCAGTGAGTCCCATAGATGTAGCAACTTTCCATAGCAACCTTTCAGTGTTACAACTCAGTCACAAAGGCCCCTCAGATGTTGCCATGTATAGAGTTAAAGGGGAAAAAGTGACTTACATTAATTTAGATAAAGAAATTTTTCTAATAATGTAATTCAATTGTTTCTTATTGATTTTAGGAACTGATCTGAACAGAACAGATGAATTTGGTTTCACTCCTCTGTTATGGGCATGTGCAAATGGGCAATTGATTACAACAAAATACCTTCTGGATCTGAATGTTGACCTTGGCATTGTGGGTAACCATGGTGAAAATGCTCTTCTTTTCTCCAGCTGCTTTGGTTACTCGGATATAGTAAAGTTATTGTTGCAACTTGGTATGAATGTCAACTTTACAGATGAGGTAAATATTACAAAAGAATTCTGAAGAAGGCCATTTGTCCCAAAGGACATTTGCTTTCCTGTTCAAAAAGGTGTTTCACCAGGGATTTTCAGCCTCCTTGAAGGCAAATGTTCAACTTTAAATTTCATTCATGTAATTGTATTATAATGCACAGTTTTTGCAATGTAATTGGGATGTAATGCATTACATTTCAGTGTCATTAACCCCAAGTCTGTTACGAGGCCCATACAGAGATTATGCATTTTTAATTATTTTCATCCAATAACAAAAGTGGTTGCTATGGTTATGGAAATGGCAAAAAATTTCAATGAAACTGAACCCAAGTGGTTTCATGTGATGACTAAAAAAAGTTCATAAGCTAGGTGGATAATACTTGGGACATTATAAAGATTATGCATATAATTTTGATTTTTTTCATTTGACATAAATTTGTTGTTGCTATGGTTACAGAAAAAAGGTAAAAAATGAAAATTGAAACATACATAATTCTAAAATTGCTTAGGTTAGATCAATGATACTTTTTATGTAGATATCAAATTGGTAGGAAAGGTTGTTTTAATGATTTCTAAACTTGGTACATTAATGTGCATAGTAGAAGCTAATAGGGCTAGATTGATAAACTTGGTTCATTAATGTGCATAGTAGAAGCTAATAGGGCTAGATTGATAAACTTGGTACATTAATGTGCATAGTAGAAGCTAATAGGGCTAGATTGATAAACATGGTACATTAATGTGCATAGTAGAAGCTAATAGGGCTAGATTGATAAACTTGGTACATTAATGTGCATAGTAGAAGCTAATAGGGCTAGATTGATAAACTTGGTACATTAATGTGCATAGTAGAAGCTAATAGGGCTAGATTGATAAACTTGGTACATTAATGTGCATAGTAGAAGCTAATAGGGCTGGATTGATAAACATGGTACATTAATGTGCATAAAAGAAGCTAATAGGGCTAGATTGATAAACTTGGTACATTAATGTGCATAGTAGAAGCTAATAGGGCTGGATTGATAAACTTGGTTCATTAATGTGCATAGTAGAAGCTATTAGGGCTACATTGATAAACTTGGTACACTATTGTGCATAGTACTAGATTGATAAACTTGGTTCATTAATGTGCATAGTAGAAGCTTATAGGGCTAGATTGATAAACTTGGTACATTAATGTTCATAGTAGAAGCTAATAGGGCTAGATTGATAAACTTGGTACACAAATGTGCATAGTAGAAGCTAATAGGGCTGGATTGATAAACTTGGTTCATTAATGTGCATAGTAGAAGCTAATAGGGCTAGATTGATAAACTTGGTTCATTAATGTGCATAGTAGAAGCTAATAGGGCTAGATTGATAAACTTGGTTCATTAATGTGCATAGTAGAAGCTAATAGGGCTAGATTGATAAACTTGGTTCATTAATGTGCATAGTAAAAGCTAATACAACAAAGGATTTGTCCTCTTTATTGATTCTAGGTAATAATCTAAAAGTGCATGATTCAGATGTGACTTTTACTGTGTCACAATGACATTTGGTGTAACATTCTGCAAATATTCTTAAATGATACGTTTCAAAAGTACACTATGCCCATCTTTGACTTATATATCACAGAAATTAATTGAAATCTATGGAATTCTTACTGAATCTGTCTAATTTGAATAAAAGTGTATGCAAATGATGCATGGGAAGCTGTATTATCAATTACAGGTCAAGTTGATCCTTTCTTAAAAAATACCAGTTTTTTTTAATGACGCTATATATTCATATTGTGTCCACCTATAGTGTGTAGATTTTAAAAGATCCATAACTCTGGTATGAACTTAAAAAATAATTTCGTCAATTTCCAAGACACATGTCATGTATTTATACTTTTTAAAAATCTTCCACTAGGTTCATTTCTACATTGTCAAGGCACTTGTTTTACTGTCAAGCACTGACTATAGTCGAGCATCCTGTCCTACTGACAGCTCTTGTTAGATAACTTAGTTTATTATATACATGTACTTATAAATTAAATATTGAGAAACATTGAAAAAATGAAATGTGCATTTTCATTTTCTGTATTTTCACTGCTGAGAAAAGTATTTTCCGTATTTCACTGCAGTGAAACATATTTTCACTGGTGTCTTGCCAGACTACTTTCTGTTAAATTCAGCATTCAGCCAATATACAAAATTTATTGGAAAGTCTTTCAAACTGTGATGTCAAAAAAGAGAAAAATGTATAAAATAAACAGAAAATTCAAGTTTTTTCTATAAATACAGGATATATTTTCATCTTGTGCTATGAAAATTATCAGATTTCTTTTGTGGCTACCGCCACTCATGAAATATTTATTTTCATACCACTTGATGAAAATAAATCCTGTATTTTTATATCTTCTACCATTATAAGATGATATGTATTGTGAAACTGTAGTGTCATTACCCCCAATGTCAAGGTCTAATAATTATGTCCAATTATAAATATGTCTGCATTATTATCCAAAATATGTGAAAATGTTATAGATATTAAGTTTTGAAGAAATACATTAAAATAAACTACTTATTAGAAGAAAGATTCTTTACTTGTCACCAAACCAGAATTGCTTGAAGAGTTTTATTCATTTAAATTCAATGCAAAATTATGATGTAGAAATTTAATTTCATAAAGCCCATAGCTGTTTTTAATGAATATGTCTTAAAATATTTTGGGAAGAACTAAGAGACAATGGTTTTGTTTTTGTCTTACCTAAATTTGTCTTACCTAAATGCACTTGTCTAGTTGCTATGCAAGATTTTAAATCTTCTTGTTAATAATTATAATAACTATGTTACATTAAAAAAAAGCCAGGCAAATTTTACTGATATAATATTACCAGCATAATCCAAGTTAAATATGAGCCGTGTCATGACAAAATCAACATAGTGCGTTTGCGACCAGCATTGATCCAGACCAGCCTGCGCATATCAGGATCCATGCTGTTCGCTTACAAACCCTATTACAAGTACAGAATGTGATAGCGAACAGCATGGATCCTGATCAGACTGCGCGGATGGGCAGGCTGGTCTGGATCCATGCTGGTAGCAAACACACTATGTTGGTTTTGTCATGACACGGCTCAATTTTATACATGTACAAGGAACCTGCTTAGCTTTGGTTCAAAATTATGGATGGTCAAGTTGGTGAACTGATGAGACCAGACTGGCCTTACAAGAAACTTGTTACATAGCAGAAACCCAGCAGTAGTTTAACACTGAGAGTGTATATTTCAATTTTGTGTGTTTTTTGTTTGTTTTTTGTTTGTAGACATGCAGTAGTAGTTTGATGTATGCAGCATTCAATAATCATACAAGCTGTGTTAAGCTGCTTCTAGAATATGGTGCCGATATCACATTACTCAACGATACTGGTTATACAGCCATGGACTTGGCTGTAGGGCAAGGTCATAAAACAGGTAAGATTGTTTCTCGGGCTGTCAGACTTAGAATTGTATGTTTAGAGTTATCTACTTCCTTTCTCTAATGAACCTGTGCAAAATGATTTTCAGCTCCCTTAAAACAGGAAGTCACGTTATTATGATTGCTGTAGTGTTGTCATTGTTGTCATCGTTGTGCAAAAACTTTTAGCAGATTGTTACAACATTTCAAATATATACTTGCTTATCACAACAAGGTGCAGTTGTTGGACAAAGGGCATAATTCTTAAAGCAATATTTTTGGAGTTATGCTCCTTTAAATCTTATCGGACTAGCATTAAAACCAAATGATCTTGTTATGTTTCTATTTAGATATATTTAATACTGTTGCCTTTCAATGGAGGAAAAACCTTCCTACCATTATGGTGAAGTTGAAATCTCTAGAAGTAATTAATGTATAGTTACATCTATACATTTGAAATATTAATAAATGAAAAGATATTTTAATTTGAAAATATTTGTATTGAAACAATGTAATAAGCTGGATGTTCTTTAATCTATTTCAGTGCAGCAAACAATTGAAGCTCACATGTTGAAACTTTTTGATTCCTTCACATGAAGCCCATGATTGTTGCTGCCTTCTCTTTGTTCAGTGTCATGGTCTACAAGGTGTGGCATGAGAGTTTGTGCCCGATTATGAAAGTTGATGGTTTTTACGAGTTATACATCCAATATGACCGGGGAAGTGACACAGAGTGCTTCAAGATAAGTTGACTGTTAATACCAGTAATACATCCAATATGAACATGTACAGTAGGGAAATGCTGTATTCTTTTCAAGGCATTAAATAATTTCTTTTTCTGGAAAAAAAATACAGTTTAGATATACATAAGCATGCCAAAAAAATATCATAGTCCAACAACTGTAGAGGTTGTACCCTTAAATGTGATAACAATGGACCTTATATATCTCAAATATTGTTATGACTTTTAAGGTCACTTAAGCACCTAATGCTCAAGTGAAACTATTGTGATCAAGCTTTGTATGTCATCTTTGTGTGTTGTGTGTGTTTGGCATGAAACATTGTCTAAAAGACCCCTACTGGATTTATTCAAATTATAGTTCTGTGGTCAAAATTAGTTTCCTTCAAGAATTGGTGGAGACAGGGTTGCCATGGGTATTCTACAAAAGCTAAGATATCTCACTGTTGAGAAGGGTGTTAGCAGGTGAATGAATATCCACTGCAACATGTAAGCTGGCATGTATAGCTTGGGTTACGTTTAAGGCGGCATAACTTAGTTAGTATGAAGTTACCTGCTGGAAGCCAAAAGGAGTGGCCCTAAAAAGTGGGAGGGCAATACGGAAAGTGTGCTAGGGTGGGTATGTCCCTGAAATAATACATACAGAAGCACCTGAGATATTACTCCACAAGTAAAGATGGAAAGTTGCCGTATGACCTTTACAGAGTTGGTGTGTGACTTAAAATCCAACAAAACAGAAAGACAGTTAATGTTCAGAATATAGTACATTTCATGCAGTTTTTGAATGACTATATATTTACTGCTTGCTAAAGTGTTAGAATATGAGATACCTATGTAAACCTTATCTAAAATCATAATAATATAATAACAGTTCACATTGGGTTATCATTCCATTAATATTTATGTTGTTACATGTATTTTCTTGTAATAAATGCAGAAGAATTCATGGTAATTTTTATGTCTCTGGGGATTTGTTTGTATGAGGTTGACTTCAGCCTAAACCAGCAAGGTGAATATAGCTTAATTCACTTCTACAGTACAAATGGCTTCATTGTTTACTTATTTATTAACCCATTACTTCATATACACGCCTTTTAACGCCTTTTTCACCCCCCCCCCCTTTTTGTTGTCTCAAATAATGAAAAAATGCCTTATTTAGGCCCCAAACACTTGTTTTTGTTTGAGAAATGTTGTTAGAAAGTCACCTCTTTTTGGCGCGGCCCCCCAACCAAAAGATACATCAGGGGGTTGCCAGAAGGGGGATGTGCCCCCTTCTGTTTGGGGGGTTTGAAGGGGGGGCGGATTCCCCTCATCGCCAAGAAAATTTTGGACTTGTGAGAGGCTGTAAATGACCCCAGATTGATCATAAGGTAACGTGAGTCCAACGCTGAAAAGCATTTGACTCTATCTCAATCCATTGAAAAGTTGTAGCACTTTGAAATCAATTTTGGTGGAAAAAATCAACGCAAAATAGTGATTTTTGGCAATTTTGAGATGTCCCCTCGTTGCCATGGTAACAGAAAATTTAAGCCTGAGCATGTTGTTGCAAGGGCAATGGTCCAGTCAACATTTGTGCCAAGTTTGATTAGTGTTGAAGCAGTTTTTATAGTATTATAGCAATTTGAACTTGTAACGGGAGACTTTTCAATGAAAACAGCCATTTTTCACAAAATGCTCATGAAGTAATGGGTTAATAATATAAAGTACATGACTTTAGTTAGTTACATAATGATGTCTTTTTTCCCCCAAGTTATTTCCTTTTTAAGTACATGTACATTGAAAATAGGCTTGGTTAACTTAAAATTGGCAAGTTGGATATGTATCTCAAGTTCTACTTTTAATGTCTCCATAATTTACACACTTATCAATACTAAGTTCATAATGTTGTGTGTTTTATAACTTTATGCTTAACCTATTCTGACAAGTTGAACATATCTTGAATTTCACCTAGCAACGTCATATTCATTTGAAATTTTAGAGTGTATTGTTATGCATCTGGTGGTCCTTTTGTCCATCTGTTAGCAATTTTGTGTCCAGTCTATATCCTTTGAACCTGTTTAAGAAATTGAAAATAACTTGGCAAAAATGAAAACCAAAATGAGACAAGGTGCAGAGCACCGGTTTGACTTTATTTATGTCAAGGCCACACTAAATCATTTTGTATGTATTTCAAAATTTAGTGTCCGCTTTGTATCTTTTGAACAGATAGATAGAAATCAAATTTTTTTTGGCAGAAATATTACTTATAATGAGACTAAGTGTAGAACACAGGTTTGGGATTCTTGAGATCAAAATTGGCCCTGTCCCTTGGATTACTTGATTTATATAGACTTATATAGAATAAATACATAAATGATCTGAGACTTTCTGTGTGAAACTACAATGCCCAGGGCTAAGATATTTGGCATGTAACGTCTCTTTGTGGACCATAACATAACTGATATTACACACACTTAAGTCTTATTTTGTGAAACTGAAATGTCAGACTATAGATATATAACATGAAGCATTGCAAAGTTGGCAAACTGGTATTAATCATTCCCATGGGTCAATATTGGCATGGCAACAGGAACCACTTACATGTAATTGATATAGTCTTGTATGAGACATGACATTTCAATCATATTTTGTAAAACTACAATGTCTAGAGCTAAGAAATAAATCATGTATCATATTTTATATAAACTATAGGAAAACTTATTTGAGTCTTGTCTTGTGAAATTACAATGCCCAAAGCTTAGATATTTGGCATGTAGCATTCCTTAATTGTGGGCTTTCACAAAACTGATATTAATTTTTAATCATACCACTTGGGTCAATAATATGTTCCCACCCTCCACAAAAAATAACCCCACCTTCGAGGTCATATATAGTATCATAAGGATAATCAAGATAAAAACATTTTTCAGACAAGTTTGTTGATTGGGTCTTTCCTGATTCAAAGATTATTATACCCCCGGAACAAAGTTTGGGATATATAGGAGTCACTTGGTGGTTGGTCTGTCCAGGAGTCTTGCATTTTCCTTGCCCGGAGCATAATTTGATGACTGATGATTAGAATTCAATACAACTTCATACAATGGTCAAGCACATCGAGAGGAAGTGTAGTGCATAAAAACCATAACTCCATCTTGACTAATTACAAAGTTATTGCCCTTTGTTACTTTTCCTTGTCTGGAGCATAACTTGAAAATTACTGGTTGGAATTCAAATCAGCGACATACAATGGTCAAGCACAATAAGGAGAAGTGCAGTGCTCAAGACCCATAACTCTATCTAAAGTAATTACAGTTTTATTGACCTTTGTTACTTTTCCGTTGCTTCCTTTTGTCCGGAGTGTAACTTGAAGACTTATGGTTGTAATTCAATACAACTTCATACAATGGTCAAGCACATTGACAGAAAGTGCAGTGCACAAAACCCATAAATCCATGTTGACTTATTACAGAAATAGTGCCCTTTGATACCTTTCCTTGTCCGGTGCATAACTTGAAAAGTACTGGTTGGAATTCAAAACAACTTCATACAATGGTCAAGCACTATAAGAGGAAATGCAGTGCACAAGAACCATAACTCAGTCCAGAGTAATTATAAAGTTATTGCCCTTTTTAGCTCGACTATACGAAGTATATGGAGAGCTGTCCTACTCGCCCCGGCGTCGGCGTCCGCGTCCAGATTTTAGATTAAAGTTTTGGTGCAGTAAAATATTTTTCACTATAACTTTGTCATTTCTTAAGGTATCAACTTCAAACTTCAAATATATGTTCCTTATCATCAACCACATCTTATGTGACAAGGTTCATAACTCTAGCACCAATATTTTCAGATTTATCTCCCCTTGAACTTAGAATTTTCCTTAAAAAATACAATTTTTTACTGTTACTTCTTTATTTCTTAAGGGATCAACCTCATACTTCAAATATATGTACCTTATCATCATCCCCATCTTATGTGACAAGGTTCATAACTCTAGCACCAATATTTTCAGATTTATCTCCCCTTGAACTTAGAATTTTCCTAAAAAAATACTATTTCTTACTGTTTCTTCTTAATTTCTTAAGGGATCAACCTCATACTTCAAATATATTTACGTTATCATCATCCCCATCTTATGTGACAAGGTTCATAACTCTAGCACCAATATTTTCAGATTTATCTCCCTTTGAACTTAGAATTTTCCATAAAAAATATTATTTTTTACTGTTACTTATTTATTTCTAAAGGGATCAACTTCATACTTCAAATATATTTACGTTATCATCATCCACATCTTATGTGACAAGGTTCATAACTCTAGCACCAATATTGCAATAATTATCTCCCCACAAACTTAGATTTTTTTACTAGAAAAATGTTATTTTTTATTATAACATTTTTATTTTTAAAGGTATCTACTTCAAACTTCAAATACTTATGCCTTATCATCAATTACATTTTATGTGACAATGTTCATAACTCTTGAAGCAATATTTACAGATTTATTTCTCTTTGAACTTAGGATTTTTTTTAAGAAATATGTTTACTTCTTTACTTTTTAAGGTATCTACTTCAAATATAATTATATTTCTTATCATTACACAAATGTTGTGTGACAAGGTCCATAACTCTAGCATGACTATTTCTAGAATTATTCCCCTTGACCTTGGAATTAATGTTAACAAATGTTATTTTTTTACTATAACTTAATACATAATTATACATAATTGATTTTTCTTTCATAGTTTTGTCCTCCTTACTGTGTCCAGTATTTTATTAGTCGAGCTTCGCTGTCTCCTGTGACAGCTCTTGTTAGCTCACCTGTCACAAAGTGACATGGTGAGCTTTTGTGATCACTTTTCGTTCGGCTTCCGGCCGGTGTCCTTCCATGAACTTTTACTTTAAAATGACATCTCCTCATAAACCACTAAGCCAATTTCATCCAAACTTCACAGGAATGTTCCTTTGGTGGTCA